TTATTTTTGTCACGGGTCAGTTGATTCCTGCTGGATAGTGAAATTATCTAAAAGACTTCTGTAAACATTTAAAATGAAGAATATAGATGTCATTATATTTCCATTTTTAATGTTCCCGTGTGCAATCAATAAAATTATGCTTTCCTCAGTTACTGAACTTCTTTCATCTTCCAGCTGTTTATTACAACTTTTGTATTTATTTTTTCCTGAATAGTGGTTGTGCAAAAATTTCCTTTTTTAGTATGGCCTTGGGATTTCCTTCCTTGTGGCTTACCGAATATAGATATCTTTATTTTCCATTTGCCTTTTGTTGGAAGGCATATCATTATCTTGCGTCTAATCATGGCTAGAGAACCATTTTCAGTTTGTGGATTTTGCTACTTGTTGGAATGTACTGAATGAATTGTTTTGTTGATAAGCATTCTTCAAAGTCATTTTTAAACTGAAATTTTACCAACAAATTTTATGCATACAAGCCTTTTGGTCGCACTTTTATAACTATCCTGGTTTTATTTTACTACTACTGCCTGTTAGGGAACAGATGTTCTTCCTATAAAAAAAAAGGGGACAGATGTTCTATTGAGATTGTATGAGATTAAATCTGTGTAATCAGTTTCCCAGATATGGCGGCAGTTCTCTTTTGTGTTTGACTTTGCTGTCCCTTTTTCATGTGTTCGCAGTTTTTTTAGTGTCCTACTTGGTTGTATTATCAATATGGCCCATGATTGTGTATTTCATTTTATTGCATGCAAGGACAAAATGAGTAAATTTCAATCTCAATATGGTGCCTTGTATTTGGTCGCTATCTACGGTTCAAATTGCCTTAAACATGTCATTTTTGCATTGTAGTTCATTTTTCTTATTTGCTTCTGGTGTCTAGCATGCATTTTTGCTGCTTGTTTTAATTGTTAGATAGTCTGACTATATCTAAATATATTATCTTCAGCTTTTTTAAAAATGAAATCTAGCTTTATTTGGTTTTCAAAATTCTCTTGTGGAAAGTTTTCTAACACTGGAGTTGGATGATTCCTTTTTTTTATGTTTTGTGGTGCTAATTAGGGATATATTTGGTCGACTGATTATTGCAATGTCTGTGTTTCTGTTTACACTTTGGGTTTGACAAGGGACAAACATTTGAGGTGATCCCTTCAAGTAAGCACATTGTGCATGTGCATGTGTTTTTGTTTCCCTAATGTTTCTTTAATACATTGTTTGCAATTAGTTTTTGACCTTTCTGCTTGATGATGTAAAATGATGAATCGGATTGTTAATGGGTGTTTGATTCAGGTTTATGACAGCTTGTTGGACGGAGATGCTTTTTGTGGTTCTCGTGATTGCCTGAATGCAGACTATATATACTCTGGCTAGATGAATGCATTAGCTGGGCTCTTACAGCCACTTCTCTTGATTTGCACCTCTAAGATGTTTTTTTCTTTTCTTTTTCTTTTTTGGTTGTTGTAGTGCTTGTTGGCAGAAAATATGGTGTAGACTATTTTTCTATGTTTTGTTAGTTAACTTTGTTCCTGCGGTACCTTTTAGCCATTAGTATAATTTTTTAATAATAAAAGTAATGACTGCTTTTTCCCATGGTTGTTATTGAATCTCCTTCTATTTAGAATTTTATATTTTTCTTGGTTGATATTGCTCTTCATGTTGAGTTTTCTATTGCTTACTCTGATGGACTATACTAATAACATATATTCAGCTTATTTTTATTGAAATTGAATGTAGTTCTTTATTTTTCTATATAAATTAATTGGTTGTACATAAATGTCCCCGGAGAGGTGTTACAGCACCCTTGTTTTCTTTTGGGTGTGGACTAAGATACCACACCATTTTCTGATGTAAACTTTTGTATCCTTGTTACAATTTCTTCTGTACTTGGTATAATTTTATGTTAGGAATGTCACCCAAAGATGACTTCAAAATTATTGTGTCATCTGTTTATCATATAGTTGAGAGTTTCAGTGATCTTTGACTCTTCATCTGATACTTGCCTGGAATACCTTTTTTTCCAAGGTTTCTCTGGTTTGTTCAATGTGAAAATTTTGTAGAATGCCCCAATATCATGGACTTTCTGAGTGGGTTCTTGTTTCAATGATGATCCTAATGATGTGAGAACAAGTATTTCGTTAAGTATACCAGTGATTTGTCGGTTGCTTCTTGATCTTGTGCTGCAATCTGTTGAGTGTTGGTGTACTTAACAGTTTACTTGTATAATACCAGTGGCCTTTTTCCGGTGGTGTTGAACTTGTAAAGGTGCTCTTGCTTGTACCAATGCATTGCCGACCTGAACTTTCTGCCATGTACTTCAACCGTCTTTGGTCTGGTTTGTTCAATGTGAAAATTTTGTAGAATGCCCCAATATCATGGACTTTCTGAGTGGGTTCTTGTTTCAATGATGATCCTAATGATGTGAGAACAAGTATTTTGTTAAGTATACCAGTGATTTGTCGGTTGCTTCTTGATCTTGTGCTGCAATTTGTTGAGTGTTGGTGTACTTAACAGTTTACTTGTATAATACCAGTGGCCTTTTTCCGGTGGTGTTGAACTTGTAAAGGTGCTCTTGCTTGTACCAATTCATTGCCGACCTGAACTTTCTGCCATGTACTTCAACCGTCTTTGGTGTCTGTATTCTTTGTCGATCGACATATTCTTTTTTAATCCAGTGGACCGTCCTTGTTAAGTATCTTGATAGGTTTGCGGGAGACCTGTTGAAATGCCAGCTTTTTTTCTCTTTTGTTTGGCTGGGGCTGTCCCTGCAACTAACAACCAGATTTCTGTAAATGATGAAAACTTTAAGTTTACTTACTGAAATCAAAGTCAATAGCCTGTTGGAACACCTTCCTCGTGAGTTATGCTCGTGATAGCTGATTTTGATATCTTTACCTATTGGATTCTCTTGGCGTGTTCCTCAAATGATGTTGCGAATGAATATGTGGCTTTTCAAGTGGTTTTTATAGAAACCCTTGTGTCCTATCTGACCCGTTGCCAAAATTATGCTTTCAAATACAATTTTCCGATTTGCAGGTTGTATCTTGAGCTTTTGACCATGATTCTTTGTTGAGCTTAAATATCTTTTGTTAGATGTTTACGAAACTAGGATCTGTTTGCTTTGATTTAACTAGTTTCATTGTCATACACTTCGGATTTTCTGCTTGTATCTATATGTCGCGTTCAATAATATATGTTTTCTGCCGAGAAACCGGGGGGCATGTTACTCCTTTTAAGGACGGGGTGGGTAACAAAGTTGTATAGCTGATATGTTTTGCTGGTGCTGGGTGGGATTATGATGCTCTCTTACCATATATTTTAACTGGCATTGGTTCCTTCTTTCCTTCCGTTGCCGAGGAACACTGTGGGGTGCATAAAACCAACCTCAAAGATGAGATGGAACCTAGTCGGGGCAACCACAGGCACAGCATGCAAATGAAGCAAAGACGGGCTAGGGGAGGACACCGATCGTTAGTTCCCGGACGACATGAGATGCCACTCCCTACCCCTGATGATTTCTGAACCGTGTTAATTGTTGTAGCAATCCATGGAGGAAGAATGGGAGTGGGGTCAACATTTTTCTTCTTCAAATTCAGCCTTTGTTTTGAACCATCTAGGGATGAAAAACTCGGTATTTGACAATTCAAACGACAAGTTGGCTTGATAATGCCTTCATGGGTACCACAGACTCTCTCTGTGCCATTCCTTTTTCTTTATTTTCATCGAGATAAAAAGCTTATCGGATTGTTTGAGATGTGGGAAAAAGAAAAGATGCTAAAGACTAATGTGTAATATTCCTTAATATTATCTGGGCATCAGCTTTACTTGATGAGAAAGAATCAGGAATAAACTCGAGTTATATATTGTTTGATTCAGGTTTTTTAGAGTTAATCGCATCATACATCCTTGAACTATGATCCTTATTCTAAACTGGTACCTTAACTTTTAAACATTCCAATTTCATCTCTAGACTATAATTGTAATTCTAGATTAGTCCTCAGACTTTTGAACATTTTAGTTTCATAAACTATGATTTTCATTCTAAATTGGTCTCTAAACTTTTTGAACGTTTCAATTCATCCCAAATTACATGTATATACTAATCCCATCTCTTGTTAATGAAATTGTAAGTCCAAGTTATATTATTATATGTTTCAAGGAAATAAAATTTAGGTTAAACTATAGTTAAAACTAATTACATATTTGGATGAATTTGGGGATAAAATTGAAACATTCAAAAGTTTGGGATTAATTTATAATCTCATGGTTTGAGGATGAAATTAGAATGTTGAAAAGTTTAAGGATTTATTCAGAATGAGAGTCATAGTTTAGAAATGAAATTGAAATATTTAAAATTTAAGGATTAGTTTGAAATAAAGGTCATAATTATAACAGAAAATGTAATTTTTTAATATTTGTACACCAAAAAGTTAGAAACTTTCTTTGTTTTTGGATATGAAAGATTTAATTTTTTTTATAAATAAATAAATCAAAAAACATGAAATAACCATTTGGCATTTTACAGGGCGACGGTCTTAATATATGATTAAAGAAAGACGTTATTAATTTTGTTATTATATATTTAACAAAACTAATAAAAAAAATTATCTAAAGTATTATTATTTCTACTTAAAACATTTATATTTTTTAATATTTCTGGTAAAATGTCCAATAATAACAAAATTGATAAAAAATAACAAAATTGATAACATTTTATTATATATGTTAACAAAATCGATAAAACGTTCAATAATAACAAAATCAATATAAATAATAATGTTTATAATAAATTTTTACCAATTTTATTAAAAAAATAATAACAAAATCTTTTTCTTAAACGTATATTAAATGTTACGGCACATGACACTTTACCATTTGTGGCAGTAGCTAGTAGCCACTGTAAAACAGTGAAGAGTTGAAGTTTAGTTCACTCGACTTCACTTATAAATACAAAGCATCCCACGCATTTACTCCTGCTCGAGCCTGTTGAACGACTACTTTTTTTCCCTGTTTTTCTTACTCATCGGCTTTAATCCTCTGCAACAATGTTTCGATTCGTAGCTCGATCGGCCGGAGGTAAGCATCTCCTCCGCCGAGGGTATGCCACAGAATCCGCACCCGACCGGAAAGTTGCGGTCTTGGGCGCTGCCGGAGGGATCGGCCAGCCCTTGGCTCTCCTCATGAAGCTTAACCCTCTTGTTTCTCGACTGGCTCTCTATGATATCGCTAATACTCCCGGCGTTGCAGCTGATGTCTGCCACGTCAACACCAGATCTGAGGTCCATTTAAAAAAATAATCTTTTTTCTCGGATTTAGAAATATTTAGATTTAATTTTCTTTTTATATGTTAGAACGTAATTTTATTTTATTTCTAATATGGGTTTTGTGTTGATTTTTGTGTTTAATATTGTTTCGTCTTCTTCGTTTTTTCTCTAGATTTTATTAGATTTATTGTTTATAAAATGTGATCTTATCTGTCTATATAGCAAATGTATAGGTTGATCTGATATTTTTGTATGGGATTTGTGTCATGATTTATCTATTTGGTTCCATACAAATTTGACATTTCTATTATGTTTTCATCTTTTGATTTAGCTTTGATCACTTTTCTCTTCTTGTTTGTAAAAGATTCGAGGTTTTAGATATTTCGATTTTCGATATTGTTGCTTGTTCATTGTTGTTTATCTGATCTTGTAGATGTCAATCTCCATGAACTGATATATTCTTTTAGCAAATCATTTTGTGTAATTTGTGTTTTGCTTCAGGTTACTTGGGGCAAGCTTTGGAGGGATGCGATGTCGTCGTCATTCCCGCTGGTGTGCCAAGAAAGCCTGGTATGACCCGTGATGATCTTTTCAACATTAATGCCGGAATCGTCAAGGGTCTATGTGCTGCTATTGCCAAGTATTGCCCTAATGTGAGTTTCTGTACTTCCTTTTTCTTCTTTTGGAAAATCATTTTTCGGGATCCTTAGTGCATCGAATGACTTATTTAGATTCTATTTCTACATGACTGTGGGATCTCTGTACAAGTGATCGGAGAAGCTAAAATAGAACTGATTTATTATTTACAAATTGTGCTTCGTGAACTGATCATCATTCGATTCATATCTATATCCTTGCTGTTTAAAATGTAATAGATAATTTTGATGATCGAACGATATTGCTTAGTTCCAAAGAATTGTTTCTTTCTATTGTGAGATCGTATAAGACTTCCTTTTCCATGACTTTTTAATGAGCTGGATTTATGGTCCAGGCACTTGTTAATATGATCAGCAATCCTGTCAATTCAACTGTTCCGATTGCAGCTGAGGTTTTCAAGAAGGCAGGGACTTACGACGAGAAAAAATTATTTGGTGTAACTACCCTTGATGTGGTTAGGGCTAAGACTTTCTATGCCGGGAAGGCAAAAGTAAACGTTGCAGGTTTATTGAATTCTTGACTTATAAAAGTTATGTATACACTTCTATAGACAAAAGATGGAAGGAACTGGGTCACCTCTCCCCTAGCCTCTCTCTTGAGAACTTTTTGTTTCAAAAAATAAGCAGAAAACCGAGTCCCGGGTTTTCTGAGGGTTTCTAGGTCCCAAAATGAAGTTTTAGAAATTTTGGATTATAAGGGGAACTTGCTGATTTACTAATTTCTTGCAGATGTTAACGTCCCAGTTGTTGGTGGTCATGCTGGAATAACCATTCTCCCTCTATTTTCCCATGTACTTCCCTATATCCTTTTGTCTGATTTTATTTCATATCGAAATGTATCAAATGCTCGATATTGTTGTGCTCCGCCTTTCAGCTTTTTGTTAATCATATCCTTTGCTGAGTGGCATTTCAAATTTGATTAGGCCACACCAAAAGCGAATTTACCTGAAGATGATATCAAGGCTCTCACAAAGCGAACACAAGATGGAGGCACTGAAGTTGTGGAAGCAAAGGCAGGAAAGGGTTCGGCAACATTATCAATGGCGTAAGTATTACTCATAAACTTCTTCACTTCCAGGTTTTGATATCCTTGCAATTGTATATGAAGTTGTAAACTGGAATCATATGCTCTTAGTCTAAGTTGTCTTGTTTCTTTGTGTAGCTATGCTGGAGCCCTTTTTGCTGACGCTTGCCTTAAAGGACTGAATGGTGTTCCCGATGTGGTGGAATGTTCATTCGTCCAATCGACTGTTACTGAACTTCCTTTCTTTGCTTCTAAGGTGATGTATTCAGAAGGCCTCGACATTTCTTAAGTTTTTGTCCATCCTGAATTTGCTATCAAGTGGTACTTATGCTCCACTTTGTTAATATTTATGGATGGACAACACCAAGTTTTGAATGTACGATTTTGGCCTAAACTTGCCCCCAGCCTGAACATGAGCTATGCTCATTACGGTAACTTCCGTCTCTGACTTGCAGGTAAGGCTCGGAAAGAACGGCGTGGAGGAAGTTTTGGGGTTGGGTCCTCTCTCTGACTACGAGAAGGAAGGGTTGGAGAAACTTAAACCAGAACTTAAAGCATCTATAGAGAAAGGAATCAACTTTGCCAACAAGAGTTAAATTTTAATCATTTGAGATTTTCTTGCATTAGGGCAATGAAAATTTTTGCAGTTACTTTGGCTGCTGTTGTTTTCCCGGCTGCAAGCAGCGTCGGCTTTGGTGTTCGATTAGTCATACCATAAACTCCCACTAATAATCCTCAGTGGTATGCTACAGGGTGTGCTTCTCTAAGACCTTTGGTTTTTCAGTATAAAATTGGGATATGATTATCACATTTGATTTTCCCCTGGTTGTTCCTCTAGAATATGTCTTTGGTGAATGGCTATATGTATTTGCTCTAATGATCGACTATTCTAGATTGGATTTTGCATAGATCCATTATGAGGGCGAAAAGAACCTTCGATACCATCTCTAATAAGTTTAGATGATCTATTAGAGTTGAATTTATTATAAGATATGCCCTTCATCCCATCAATATAAAGTAGTCATCACGATTTTAGATCAGACGTTAATAGTACCTACTATCTTAAATCAATCACTTATCATAACATTATGGACTTACACTGGTAATGGCTACCACAATTCAAATATTACCATTAACAATGATCAATATTGAAGAATGTGGCACGGATGGTTAAAGAAATCGTTGTTGATCTTAAAATTTATAGATTCTAGTATCAGTGATGATTGAGCGTTTATTGTTAAAAGAGAATGACTTCTATTACAGGCAAATGTGAAATGAGAACTCAAATGGTGAGTTAAAAAGACAGGAAATGAACAGTACAGTCAACGACCGAGCGACAACGCGCGAATGCAAAAACATATCGCAAGGGTGGCGGCGGCTATGGCATTTCACAAACAGCTATTTCACCACGTGCCATTATCTAAACAGGGTCCACATCATTTGTACTCGATATATCATCCTACGGTTCAGCAACAAACCTTAACCATTAATCTTTGAATTTAAACAAAAAAAAAAGAAGAAAAAAAGATCTGATATTCCAGTTATCTTGCTACTTAAAATGAAACTTGATTGAGGCTATGGAGCTGGGAAAAGAACTACTTGGAAAGTGATCCCTTTAAAGCTAAAAGCTTCAACTGGGTAAGCAAAGCATGGATCTATCTTGTTTTAGTTTAAAATTGATACTTTACAGAGAACAAAGTTTTTGATTTTGTTCTCTTCTTTCCCTTATTGATTTATCAGTGATAGTGAGAGATGATTCTTCTCTTGATTGTATTACTTTTTTTCAAGTATTGAAGTTACTTTGCAGTCATCCAGGTGTCTCTAGATTATGTTGCAGATCCATCAATCTGCATCCATGGATCATGGAGGGTCCTTGATGTTAAGTTCAAGTTCTGTTGTTTCTTCTTCCCTTTTTTGTTATGTTTGTGTTGAGACTGAGTCATCTGCAACATGAGAATTTCACTTTGTTAACGATCTTTTGATCTGTTGAAAGTTTTTATTGAAATTCCCTGTGCATATCTTTGCAGTTGTTACTTGATCTCGGGCTGCAACCGGTCAATCTGCAAGCCAAATTCGGCATCCACTGAACATGGACGATACGACATCGGTATCTACCGGTCCTTATTCAGCCTCAGGGATGGAGTATTCAGATACCGGTCCTTATTCAGCCTCAGGGATGGAGTATTCGTCGATTCATAATCAATCCCACAATACTTGTCAATGGCACTTGCAACCAGAAATGACTGATGGAATGACGCGTTCTCAAGCAACACAAGGCCATTCTCTAGAAGTAGAAGCTTCGCAACAACCGAGACCGGGAGGTCAGAGACCTAGAATGAGTATAGATGAGAGAAAAGCACGCAAAAGGCAGATTGATGCCAAACATAGGCGGCGGAAGAAGGTAATGAAGGAGATTGTGGAGGGATTGGATAGAATTGTCAACTGAAGTGCTGAATTAGTATGAAAGAAACGTATTTCCTACAAGACATAAGGTTTTGGCTTGTATTCCTCTTTTGTTTAAACTTTGGCTTTCATTTGTGCAGGCTATATTCGACGAAATGACTGCCCAGAACCAATTCTTGCAAGACGAAGTCCAGAGGTTAAAAGAGGTAATCGGACGGTTGAGTTCCGGTAACACACACTTAAAAGAGAAAACTGGACAGCCGAGCTTCGAGAACAGACACCTTCAAGGCAAGGGACAACTTCCACAAGAAATTCTGCAGAGTCAAGACAGTTACATTTCCCAACCAACAATTCAGGTTGAGCAAAATGTTTATGTCCAGGTAGAAACTGTGTTTACAGTGTATGATCCACATTTGACTTGTCTTTACTGATCATCGTATAATATTTGAAGGCGAACATCGATTTTAATCTCATTTGCCGGTCTATTTCTTTTTACTTACAGAGCCATCATTGTTTGGAGGATATCCGCGCCGAAGGAGCTGCCGATGAGGTATGGGAATTCTTTCATGTTCCTTTAAGTGAATTTGACACCTTTCAATCATTACTATGACTTGCTGATGTTAGAATTTCTTTCTTTTTCCAGTGTGATGGTTTGGGAATAGATGAGTTACTAAATCTATTGTCTCCTGAGAATGAGATGACTCGGGATGGAAGATTTGCTTTCAAGGTGTCTGCTACCGAGCATCCAACGAGTTCTCAGAGTGGTTTGTGTCCCTCTGAGGTGGCTAAGAGCAAATTGGATAAGTTCCTTACGGAACTCGACGCAGAAGTTACGAGCTATGCAGATCCCTCGTACTTCGCAGGCTTAGAGGAGGAGGAGCTGGTAGGAGTTGAGAAATTTAGAATTCCATCATCTCTGGTTCCGACTGCCGAGATGATAAAAGATTACTATGGCGACATTTCTGCAAAAAGTCTAATAAGTCCCCGTGTTTCTGGAATAATCTATATAATGTTCTGCGCCACGATACGAGAGATGGGAAGTCTACGGCTCGACCAGGTTACCGAGAGCATAATGCTGCAATGGAGATATGTAATCAAGGATGCTTTACGCCTTGGTTTCAATGTGACATTCGCCATGGATCATTTGAAGAAAATTGCTTGTGCTTACTTTGGTCTAACATGGCGCCAAGAGCTCCAAGACAGGTATGCAAAGATCTTAACTTTAGAGGCTGAAATTATCGAACGGAAGGAAAAACGTGCTATGATATATGAGAAGTATCAGACGAGTTTTGAGGCCACTGAGAAGTTCACCGGAGTACCTGTCAGCACAGGTTTATTTCCTTAGTCTTCTACGAGATGCCGTTCTTAATACTTGTACTGCAGAAAAATACCATCACATGAAACTGTCATACCATTTTACCTGATATCTCGCTCATTCAAACACAATCTCTTTGTATTGTATTCGTAATTGTCGAAATAATGCTCGTCATTTTTTCCACTTTAAGCCTTAAATCTTGTATCGGCATCGAAACCACCTCTGCGTTTTGCATCTGTTTGATAATATGCAACTCCAAGTCTCCATTGAGCAAAGGGTTTCTCTATCAAGTACTGATGCTCAAGCTACCACCTACACATTGTTGGTAGTGGCTCAAATACTGAAGTTCTGTCCCATATTCCTTTTTAGCTTGTAGCACCTTCAGCAAAATCAATGCTCAAGCAGGGAAGAATTTTTTTTTACTTTAGAGGAACAACATGTGATCCCTACTCGAGAGAAAATCATCAATGCTTGCGGTGATATCTCCGCGGAAAGTAAGATGAACCCGAGCATTACCGAGACGGACTACGTTGTGTTTTGTGCTTGTGTATAACAGATGAATGATCCACGGCTCAAGGAAGTTGCCGAAGATAGAACATTGAAGTGGAGGATGTAATCAAGGATGCTTCATGTATCGGTTTCAAGGTGGATTTCGTCGAGGAACATTCAAAGAAAACCACTCACGCTTACATTGGACTAATGGAACGTCAAAAGACGAAGAATCTGGTTACGAAGATCTCGAGATTAGTAGATGATTTGAGCTCTGGGAAACAAGAGCTTGCAAAGATAAACCTTGATGTTGCAGATGACTTTAATGGCAAGTTTATCGGCTCGGGTATGTTTCAGAGTCTTGATACAACACAAAGTGAGCACAGATTAAGCACTTACTATATCTTTAAAACATCCAAACCTCAGATTCTCATGCTAGGACAATCAATTTCTTACAACATAGTAATTAACACGAACATGATATAAAACTTAACTATAAAAAACCTTAAATACGATAAAATACACGAACATGACACATGATTAACTCCGGAATTATCCTTTCGTCTTCGGTCCGACTTCGAAATTGGAAAAAACACATGATCAAGCAGGATCTGTTACTGTTCTCCAGGAATGAAAAGGCTTTCCTATTGTCATCTGCATTTTCAATCTCAACATTTGAGAAACAAAACAAAACCAACTTCTCTTCTGTTTTTCTTATGAGCCTTCTTTTCCGATGTCGAGCCTTCATGGACAGTGGGATCGAGCCCTGGAATCTCCGGAACGACTCTGACTTCTGGATTGGGCACGGTGACACTGTCTTTGACGTTTTTATCTTCAGTGTAACCCATGATCACTAGGCAAATTTTCAAGTTTGCTACCAAATTGGCACACCAGAGAACTGTTTAAATAGAGGCAAAGTCTAAGCAAACTATGTATGCATGTATGTAACTGTTTAAATGGAGGCAAAGTCTAAGCAAACTATGTATGCATGTACATACATACATGCATGCATGCATGCATGCATATATACATTGGTTGAAATATTGTAACATGTTCCGTCACCGTTGATATATAAAATTATTAAAACTATTCTTCTAACAAATGGTAAGTTAATAAATATATATTTACAGTCTCCATACACTTTGATGTTCATATGAAACTGAACTGCTTATGATTAGAAAAAGCATTTAATTTTTTGCATATCACTTAAATGGTAAATTTTTATTTTATTCCCTTTGAAAGATATAGTATTTAACTTAGATAATGGGAAATTTTCATTTTGGCCCCTCATAAATGATCAACTTTTAATTTAATTCCTTTAAAAACTAAAAATTATAAACTAAATAATGGTAAAATTATTAATTTAGTCCCTGGTCAAAATAAGAATTTTTGGCCCATGTATGGGTTGCTTAAGCTGGGAAAAGATTCGTTGCTATTGGACTTATATTTTTTTTAATGCACCGGTGAATAAGTTTAAATTATTTAATGCCACCTATTAGAAATGTTTATTAATTGTTAAAATGTTTAATTAATCATGATTATTTTTAGGGTAAACTATATATTTAGTAAATAAACTATCAAGTTTGGTCTATTTTAGTATCTAACTTTTAATTTTTTTTCAAAATCATACCTAATAGTTTTTGTTTTTGTTTCATTTTAGTACCCATTGAAAACTTGATGTTAAATTTTGAAGAAAAATTGAAAGCCTAGATACTAAAACAGACAAAAATTGATAGTTTAAGTACTAAACACATTAAGTTTTTAACGGCTGGATATTAAAATAAAATAAAAACTAAACGTTAGATATATTTTTGAAAAAATTAGAAGTTTAAGTACAAAAACAAACCAGGACTGATAGTTTAGATATTAAATGTATAATTTAACCTTATCTTTAAATACCATAACTGAAGGAACAAAAGAAAGGTTTAATACCAAAATAAGTGCTCAAATTATACCTTAAAACTCATATAGGTGCCTAAACTAATTTTCGTCTCATCCAGGTGCCTAACATTACAACCATTACCCGTTTAGGTGTCCGTTAAGTGACATGTGTCACAATCTAGTGAGATTTTGAATTTTTTAAATAAAATATTAAAAATAACTTTTCTCATATTATAAAACAAACTCAAAATCCCAAATCTTAACCTTAATTCGTCGTCGTCTTCGCTCTTTTCGACCTCGACCACCGCTACCGACGTAGTCCCTGCCATCATCCTACTCATACACCGTCGTATTTCTCGTCGATTGATCGTCGGAATCGCGATTTTAATCCTAGGGTTCAAGTGGTTTAAAACTTAAATTCGTTGTCGATAGGCTGTCGATCGATCACGATTTCATTAGGGTTTTGGTCGCCGGGGGAGGGGAGGTCGGGCGGACCTTCTTCGAAGGCAAAAAGCGACGTCCGGCGTGAGCTTAAGAGTTGAAATGAAAGCTTTCAAAATTTTGGTTTTATTTCAAAATGAGTTTTCTATTTTTCAAAAAAAATATTTTTAAATTTTTTAAATTTTAAATAAAATTTTTAAAATTATCAAATTGTAACGTTACCGACCCAGACACCTAAATAGATAACATTTATAACATTAAGCACTTGGATGAGACGAAAATTAATTTAGACACCTATTCGGAAAAACGATATAGTTTGGGCACTTATATTAATATTAAGCCAAAAAAAACTAAAAATAATCACTTCATCGAAATCAAATTCCCACTATAACTTGTACGCAATGAAACCGGGAGAAATCAGTTGGTAAACACACAAAAGTTCATGTGACATCAAAATATCATAATCATCAACAAGCGTACAGCAATTCTATAGTAGCCAATAACCATGTCTAGGCATTTTTTCTTTATTTACAGCATTACCTAAAAACTAAAATAGTCTCAGAATTCATCTAGGACAAAGAACTAGGATCAATAGTTCCTATCAGGATTGTTTCCTCCACCAACGTTTGGAGGATAGTTGTCCTGGTACTGAGCATTGGGATTACTTCCATAGTTAGGGCCATTTTGAAAATTCTGATTATTCCCGGGAGCATTTCCATAATTAGGACGGTTTTGGAAATTCTGAGCATTACCGGACCATCCTTGATTTGGTGGTGCATTCCCCATATTCCCCATGTTGTTTGGTGGCATCCCTCCCATGTTGTTTGGTGGTGGCATCCTTCCCATGTTGTTGTTGGGTGGCATCCCTCCCATGTTGTTGTTGGGTGGCATCCCTCCCATGTTGTTGTTGGGTGGCATCCCTCCCATGTTGTTGTTGGGTGGCATCCTTCCCATGTTGTTGTTGGGTGGCATTCTTCCCATGTTGTTTGGTGGTGGCATTCCACCTGCTGCATATTGCATGCCCTGGTTCGGAGGAGCCATCTCCCTATTGGGCTGCTGCTGCATATTCTCCCTTCTCCTCTCGTAATTTCTTGATCTATCATAATTCCGAGGTCGATCATTTCGCCTATTTCTTTCGTTCGCTCGAGCATTGTTCCTCACCCATTCCTCATGATACTTTGGATCATAAGGCACAGCTTGCCCATTGATAAAAGGTTCTCCTGAAAAACAACTTATTCCAAGTATTAATACAATAAAACAAAAAATCACTCAGAGAAGGAATACTCGAGATAAAAACTTAATATTCACCTCCATAATCCTTATTCTTCACATCTAGGTAAGAATCTGGAAGAACCCATCGAACTCCAGGAAGTTCTGGGCGAACAAATAAGAATTTATAAGAAACTCCGTAAAAAACAACTTCTCTTAAAAACAGCATTGTCTTGACAAAAAATTAGGTAAGAGGCACGCACCTTTGATCTTGTAAGAAAGCTCTTCGGACACAAGAGCTCCAAATGCATAATAGTGTCTGGTAGAAACCGAATAAATTTTCATCCTTGCTTCGTCCTCGCTGAATACACAACGCAAAGGAAAAGAACAGGAAATAGAATATGACCTCCTTTAACTGGAGTAAAAGAAAACAAGCATCTATAGAACAAAATTCTCAAAAATACTGAAATCCCGACGATTAAATGATACAAGATACAATCATCATGTCAATCAACGGAGCTTTTGCTACTATTTGTAATATAACATGCTGCATGCATACAATTCAGACCTAGAATCCCTTGTAATAAGCATTACATATTTCAAAACCAATAGTCGATGCGTAGACATTCTTCAATCCGATTTATATCATTATTCCTATTGTGCTAACATTACATCTTCATTTATTAGGAGAAATCATCAAAACTATACCAACACAACTTATGAATTAACCGAACAAGAAGCTGCAAAAAAATTGAATTCGACAAGTTATTTCTCTCTTTTTCGAATCTTTTCAAAAGATGAAACAATAACAAATCAATAAACCATGATTGACATCAAAGATACGGCCTTTAGTCGCACGCTCACAGTAGATTCATACTTGACATGGAAAAGATAACGTGAAACATAACAATCAAACCATATTTGATCTAATAAAGGCTAGAATTGATTAAAAAAGAACAAATTAAAACGAATTGTTCAATACCATATCAACATAAAATCAGTCATTCCTGAAAAAAAATTGTTATTCGATGCAATTACAAACATTAAATCACTCGGCTTGATAAAAAGTAAACAATGAAAGAGGAACCCAATATAAGTAAACAAAAATAGGCCAAAAAAGATACCTGCCCACTACTTGAGCTAGAGTTTTGATATAGGAATCAATAATGTCATCCCGAGTGGCATCCTCTTTAGGCGGCTCCATCACAACGAGCCAATGCTCAAAATCACATCCGTCGAGCAAAATCGTTTCTTTTGGGGGCCTGTTCGAGTAGTTAGGGTTGGGGTCATTGAGGGAGGACCTGGATGCGTGAGTGGAGAACGATTTGAAGGATGGGAAAAGTGAATCGCGAAGGAGTGGCGAGTAGAAAGGCGGGGCACGGATGCGACGAAGGAAGGAGAGGGAAGCGGGTGGCGATGGGGCGATAAGAGTTTTGGTGAAGGAAGCGGCAGCAGTGGAGGAAGAGGAGAAAGAGCGGCACGAAGGGAAGAGGAAAGAAGAAATGGGTTTGGGCTTTGAGAGGAGAGCGCGACAGAGGGTTTGCGTCGCCATTTTTGGAGGCTCAGATATGACCGAGAGTGCGAGGAACAGAACGATAAGATGACAAAGGTTTTGGAAAGGTTTCTTTATGGACGATTAACGGAGGAGAAAACGGAAATTTTCTTATAACCTTTGGGGTTTTAGGTAAAATTGCCATTATAAATATTCTAGGATAAATTACACATATGGTCCCCCAACTATATGACACTAATTTGTTGAGTCTCTCGACTATTAAAAGTCATAAAATAATCTATTGATTATAGGATGTTGTTTTATTGAGTCATTTGACTATTAAAAATTACAAAATGATCACATGACTATTCATTATATTCCAAATTTGTCTTTTTTCGTTAAAAAGTTAACGATAGTCTAAGCTGAATATTAATACGTTGTCTAATATATGATAGTCTTTTGATATTTTAGGATCAAATTTTTATCATATCTCATACAATATATTAATATCCAACTCAGATTGATGTTAATTTTTTTAACAAAAGAGGATGAATTTGGAACGTAATGAATAGTCAGATGACCATTTTGTAACTTTTAATTGTCAGGGACTCAACAAAGTAACATCTTATATTCAGGGGATCATTTTGTAACTTCTAATAGTAAGGGGCTTAACGAAGCAACTCCCTATCATCAAGGGACCATTTGTTTACTTTACCCTTAAATTAAACTACAATTGACATAAATTTTTTAAGATAAATAATAATAAATTTCATGGGATCACGCTTGAATCTTGATTAGTCAAGTTTTAATTTTTGCTTCAAAGTCATTTTGTAACTTTTAATGATTGAGGGACTCAACAAAGCAACTCTCAATACTCAGATGGTCATTTTGTAATTTTTAATAGTCAAGGGACCTAATAAAATGGTATCCTATAGTCGGGGATCATATGAGTACTTCACCCTTATATTTTTAAAAAATGGTTGTCCATTGTTCCCATATATAATGGGGTAAGGGGGGTAAGATAGTAGGCTGCTCCCAACACTAGGCAACTTCCGTAGGAGACCTCCAAATTATGAAATGCCCTCCATGAGACTCGATCACACGATCTCAAGGTTAAGATAAAAGTATAGTTTAAATATTAAAACGAAAAAAAAAATTGAAGTATCAAAGTGTTATTTGAACGTTTCGTAAGTACTTGAATTGTTGCTAATTTCCATGTTTTTATCAAATTAAATATATACAATTTTTTGACATCCTTGTATTAGTGAACGAAATAGGAATAAAGTATAATCAATTAATTTGTATTCATGAACAATATTGTTTATATTCATTTAAAGATTGTTTAATAAATAAACCCATCTAGTGATTTCAGAGATTAAAGGTAGTTTTTTTCCTTTGAGGTTCTAGGTTCAAACAATTGCGTTTGTGGGTGTGTTGTCAACCGAGATAATTTTGATCGAAGATCGATTAATAATTTTTATTTTTTAATTGAGAAAACATAACATTTGGTATGATTTTGGAAGAAAAAAATTAGTGACCAAAACGGAACAAAAGTGATAGTTGGGTACTAAACGTATAGTTTATCTTATAAAATAATAAATAATTAGGTAAATTACACGTTTACTAGCTAAACTATCAGCTTTGGTCCATTTTAGTACCTAAACTTTAAAAAAATTCAAAATTATACCTAAAGTTCTTGTTTCATTTTAGTATTTCGTCGTTAAAAACTTTAGTTTTTGTTTCATTTTAGTACTCTCATTCAAAATTTAACATTAAGTTTTGATTTTTTTTGAAAGTTTAGGTACTAAAACGGGTCAAAACTGATAGTTTATGTACTAAATGCATTAAATTTTTAATGGTAAGGTACTAAAATGAAATGAAAAGTTAGGTATGATTTTAAAAAAATTAAAAGTTTAGATACTAAAATAAACTAAAAATGATAGTTTAAATACTAAATGTGTAGTTTACTCTAATTATCTCTTCCACACACACACACACATATATATATATATATATATATTTACAAGTTAAGATCTTTGTGGCACTTAAACCTACCACGAGCGACTTCGATGGTAAATAAATTTTTATTATTTCTTGATGTCCCGGATTCAAGCATTAAAAATATCAGAGGTCTTAATGTTCAATGTCAAATGATTAAGAGATATCTTTAAATATATATTACCTTATAAAAAAATAGAGTAGGATTTCAAAACCAAAATAGTTAAGAATCTATTTCTTTCAAGTCATAAACTATGAAAAGACAGCTAGGAAACGTTTCATGAACATAGCGAGCCCTAATTTCATGGTTCAAATTCTAATTGGGACTAATAATTTGATTGATTAAGCTAAAATCCGATGACCCAACTTGGGATTAATTATGTTGGTCCATTATGACATTACCCTAATTGGGAATTTACAAGGGTACCTTACCTTAACCAATGAGTTTAGCTTCCCCCCAACTACCTTATTTTCAGCTGTCAAAGTGGGGAAGATAGGTAAGGCAACCAACATTAACCCCTTTACCAGTCAATATTAGCTCACCTGAAAACACAAAAACCTTTTCAACATTAGCCAATGACTTGTTTAATTTTGGCTTTATTCACTATATAGTCCTTGGATGATATTTATTTTCTCAATTTGGTACCTTCATTTTCACATTAATAAATAAACTACCGAGGATCTCCTTTTATGTTCTTTCTTCACATAACTTAAGGCATCCCAGTTTCCCTCTCAAGTTTCACCTTTCCTTCTCCCAAATGGAATTGCTCGTGAAGTCATCGGTTCCCGGTGGCCGGAAACCTCCATATAGATTAGAGACTAGAAATTTGTCTTTCAAGTTGAGCACCCCATTTGAAGACTACTTCCGGTGGATTTTCTGCGGTGGTCGGAATCGATATAGACCTGCGAAGTTCATCTTGAAGGGTGTGGATTGTGAAGCTAGGCCCGGACAGATTACAGCGATAGCCGGACTGAGTGGCGCAGGCAAAACTACGTTGCTAGAGATTCTTGCCGGGAAGATACCGCCTTGTGAAGTGTCATCAGGGGAAGTTCTCGTCAACGGCAAGCCTATCGACGTCAAACATTTCCGGCGAGTTTCGGGATACGTCACGCAAGACGATGCGTTGTTTCCACTGCTTACGGTCGAAGAAACGCTCATGTATAGTGCGCTTTTGAGGCTACCAGGAGGGAGGAAGGAAGCTGGTTCTAGAGTGAAAGGGCTGTTAAAGGAGCTTGGATTGGAGCATGTGGCCGGTTCGAGAATCGGTTACGGATCGAGCAATGGTATATCGGGTGGTGAAAGGTGGCGAGTATCGATCGGAGTCGATTTGGTTCACGACCCTGTGGTTATCTTGATCGATGAACCAACTTCGGGATTGGATTCGGCGTCGGCTCTTCATGCCGTGACACTACTGAAATCCATGGCACTCAATCAAGGTAAGACTATAGTTTTAACCATACACCAACCTGGTTTCCGGATCCTCGAGCTGTTCGATCGCATCGTGTTGCTTTCGAATGGATTCGTTGTTCATAACGGAGAGCTCAATCTTCTCGAAGGCCGACTAAAGTTAGCCGAGCACTGAATCCCTCGGCATGTAAACGTCCTCGAATTCGCCATCGATGTCGTTGAAACTCTAACCGTATTGAATCCAGGCACACTAATCAACATAAACCATGTAGTCATTCGAATAAGGAGCCTGATCGTTCTCGAACGAAGGCTTATCGTTTACCCCAATTCCCGATTCGACGAAGTCCTGATATTAGGCCAAAGATTCTGCAGCAACATCTTCAGAACCAAGCAACTCTTCGCAACAAGAGTTATACAAGCCTTGGTAGCCGGATTTGTACTCGGAACCATATACTTCAACGTCGAAAACGATAAAGGAACCAACGCTTTACAAACTCAGACCGGCTTCTTCGCCTTCACGCTCACTTTCCTACTATCTTCCACCACCGAGGGACTACCAATTTTCTTACAAGAACGAAGAATCCTAATGCGAGAGACATCAAGAGGAGCCTACAGAGTTTCCTCCTACGTCTTAGCCAACACCATCGTTTTCCTTCCATTTCTTTTACTGGTCGGGCTCCTCTTCACTTTGCCGGTCTATGGCTCGTCTTCCTGCGTCGAGACTCCGTCGACGGGTTCCTTTACTTCTCCCTGGTGGTCTGGATGGTTCTTTTGATGTCCAATTCATTCGTGGCGTGTTTCAGTGCACTGGTGCCCAACTTCATCATTGGGAACTCTGTGATTGCTGGTTTAATGGGGTCTTTCTTCCTGTTTTCCGGGTATTTTATAGCCAAAGACAAGATCCCCGATTACTGGGTTTTCATGCACTATTTGAGCTTGTTTAAGTACCCATTTGAGTGCTTCATGGTCAATGAATTTGGAGGGGAACAAGGGGAGAAGAAGTGCATTGAAGTTGAGAATGGTGAATGTAGTTTGTTTGGGAGTTGGTTCCTGAGCCAACAAGACCTCAAAGATTCACAGAAATGGACCAATTTGGCTGTGATGTTGGGCTTCATTGTTGGGTACAGAGTGCTTTGTTTATTGATTTTGTGGTATAGATGTTACAGAGCAAGAAACTAGATATATAAATATCTTTATTTTCTTTTTCTTTTTTCATTATTATTGTTGTAAAACTCTTTTAGTTTTATACCCTTTTAGTACCATTGGATTGAGAGAAATTAAAGACCAAAATTAAACTTTTTATTTTTTTTCCAGTGAATATCTTCTCATTTTTTACTATTAATATCGACCTTTAATTTCTCTCATCCAATAGTCCTAAAAAAGTGTAAAACTCTTTGAGTTTTACATAGCATAACTGAATCTATCCATATATATATATACAAGTTGGTCATTGAATTCATTGTTTCCTGACATTTCCCATTTTCAGGAGACTATACATTGTTCAAAACTAATAACCTTAATGTTATTTGAGGTATTTAGTAGTATTTTAAAATTTTTGCTATTATTTGAGGAGGGTTCAGACATTATAGATGTGTTTGATTTATAGAATGGAATATTATTTTTAATACTCCTATAAAGTTTTTAGAATGTAATATCATCTAATATTATGGATTTGTGAGTTTGTGTGGTATAAACGCTTCTATCTCGAAATTTTACGTAGGAAGTTTCTGTCGGTCATATAGCGGGGTACACCGG